TTGATTTTATTTTGCATTTTTATTTTGATTGTTCTTACAATAGTTTAATTCGACAAACATATAGTTGCTGAATAATTTACAAGTTTTTTTATTTTGATTTTATTTTGCATTTTTATTTTGATCGTTTTTGCAATAGTTTGTAAGAAATAAAGTTTTGAAACTTCCACAAAGTAGATCTTCAATAATGCGGAGAAACATCGAAGCAATTTAATCTTCCCGAGTCAGCTTTTGTGATCGTTCCACGAACGATGCGTGCAAGCTCGTGCATATTCCCGACAATAACTAATAAATTTTGCAATTTACTACAGTGGGACGTCCATTACCTCTGCACCCTCGTTCGGTGCACGTGCACAAAGTGTCGTCGTGTAATCGTCGTGCAAACTCTAACCGTATCAAAGCAGCGGAAAATAAACGTTCCTTTCCAGACAAAATTGCGACAATGTTATTAATGCGCGCGTCGTCCCGTTTTTACATAACAATAACAAAAAATTTCTACGGCTCTTGAAATTCTGCAATTTTTCAAACTGACGTAGTTGCAAATGCGAGGTACTATTTCTGTACGTCGTTCCAACTGCATTTTACAACACTTGTTACTAAGAATAGACTCGCTTTGTCGCCAAAGCAAACATTGCTTTTTTACTTTTTTCAAGAATGTCTTTCGTTCTTGTTACTTTTGAGCAATTTTGGGATTTAGGGGAGTGGATGTTTGTGAATTTTGGAGTCGAGAATTTGGGGTTCGAGGATTTGAAAAATTTAGATATTGGGGATTTTAGAATTTGGGGTCTGAGGATTTGGAGAATTGGGAATTTGGGGTTTGAGGATTTGGAAAATTGAGAATTTGGGGTTTGAGGATTTAGAGAATTGGGAATTTGGGGTTTGAGGATTTGGAGAATTGAGAATTTGGGGATTTTAGAATTTGGGGTTTGAGGATTTGGAGAATTGGGAATTTGGGGTTTGAGGATTTGGAGAATTGAGAATTTGGGGATTTTAGAATTTGGGGTTCGAGGATTTGAAACCTTCAGAAATTGGAAATTTTAGAATTTGGGGTTTGAGGATTTGAAACCTTCAGAAATTGGAAATTTTAGAATTTGGGGTTAGAGAATTAGAAACCTTCAGAAATGGGAAATTTTAGAATTTGGACTTTCACAAATTTAAAGAATTGAGAATTTGGAAGTATTCAACACCCCCTAGGTCCACATCTCTCCACCGAAACATACTTAACACCCCACTGCACATTTCTTGTTCGCCGACTTCCACGCAGAAAAATTTTTCCGTGGAAATTGTAGGATTTATCAGTTTTACGTATTTCCCGACTGGCGGTTCCTCTTGGCGCTAATTTCATTTCTGCTCGACTCGTCAGGCGATTGAATTGTGCAGCGACGTTCACGAAGAAGCAACTTTCATCTCCTGTGGTTTCTTGCCTTCGTGTTCCGCGAAACGTCGTTTCTCGCGGAATAATTTGCCGCTCCTTGTGACGTAACGTTGGAAAATTTCAGAAATCGATAAAACCTCGTGCACACAAACCGAACAGTTTCTGTTCCTCGGAAAATCGAAGCTGAAATTGAACCTGACAGGTAATAATAATGCTGATAGCGTTGTGATGGAATCTGACTGGTCGAGACAACGAATTTGATCGAACAAATGGATACAGATGTTCGTTGAAGGAGACAGATATTTCTGAATAAATAACTTCCCCCTTTTCCAACTTAAAAATTGGGTTAAAATTAACATCTCTGTTGTACACTGAATTACGTAATCACAGCTTTTGTCCTATTTTTATTCATTAATTTTCTGGGTGAAGGCACATTTCATTTCCATGAACTGTTCTGGACTTTGACTGTTTTGTTCAGAGTTTTCCATATTGAAGCAACATAAACACTGTAACAACTATTCTTGAATAAAAATTATGTTAACAGGACCATAATTTATTTCAACCCAGTTGCTGTTTAATTCTGAAGTCTCCATGTCTATGTAGAAAGTAGAAGTTGAAAATGGACTGGCAACATGTAGGTCCGATGTTAAAGAATTTCTTCGATTTTCTAAACCTGGTTGAACACGTAACATTCAATCTCGAAACAGTGGTCTTTAGAGCACTCACGTGTTGCAGAATGTGTTCGAATCAACGGTCGTTTAATCCTAGCCGGCCTTAAATCTATTGTGCCATTGTACCGTAATAGTCCTCTGGAGAATCGCTTGAAAGTACCATTGGAACTTGAAAGACTTACACACGTTGCGGTTGTCGGAAACGGTTTATCCCTTTGCAAGCTTTACGTGTTCATTTCTGATTTATGACTGATTTATCGATTCTGAATTGACGAGTTTAATCACCAACCCAGAGGGTTCTACCACAAGTAGAATGATACACTCACTGATTGGTTAAATAAGATTTCAGTCACTGTCAAATTAAGACTCAACTATCAAAGTAGGAATTAGATCAGAGCCAAAATATCACTATCATGTTTTCTATCACACTCAGCAATTTTAACCTACTTGAATGATAATGTAAAAGATAAGTTATTAATCTACTTTCACGAGTACTAGATAGAACGTTCATTTGCAAGTTCTAAAAACAGACTTAAAGAATGTACCTCCGGTCCTGGCAAAGGGTGGTATTATTCGTTGACCTAGTACCAGGACGACAGGTATGCACGCAATGCGAGTTTGCATCATTCGCGTGTTCCAGAATGTGTGCTCGATTCATCGGAACAGGTGTGCACGGATGCGTTGTTGCGCAAACAAATAGATAAATATAAATAATTGAAGAATTTTTCTGATCAACGCTTATTAGTCAAATCATTCAGTGGATAAGAATGATGATTCGGTATTCTCACTTAACTATGTGTCAAATGTTTCTCAGAGCAACTTGCGTGCCGATATGTTCGATCATACATTGCGTGACGATACATTGCATGGCAATATAACGCTTAGTTGTACTAATGGCGATACAATGAATCGTAAATGTAAGATGTTGTGATCTAACGCGTTGTAATGCAACGTGCAGTAATATGAGAACGCATGGTATTTTAACGTTGTAATGCAACGTGCAGTAATCTGAGAACGCGTGGTAATCTAACGCATTGTAATGCAACGTGCAGTAATCTGATAACGCGTGGTAATCTAACGCGTTGTAATGCAACGCGTGGTACTCTAACGCGTTGTAATGCAACGCGTGATACTCTAACGCGTTGTAATGCAACGCGCAGTAATCTGAGAACGCGTGGTAATCTAACGCGTTGTAATGCAACGTGCAGTAATCTGACAACGCGTGGTAATCTAACGCGTTGTAATGCAACGCGTGGTAATCTAACGTGTAGTAATCAAGCGCGTATTTACCGCGCGTGGATCTAACGCACAGTGATCTAACGCACAGTGATTTACCACGCGAATCAAACTCACAGTTGCAATTAATATCCAGCGTTCTAATTCCTAAGACAAAATCAAAGATCTCGATTGTACTAGAGACCAAATTGCACTTGCAATTCATATGCAATTTGCAACCGATCTGCCCGCGCACTCGCGTGCCTCAACGAGCAGAAATCATTCCGTAGATCACATTAAGAATTATACCAGCGTCGATTGAAATTGACATCCATTTGTCAAGGCCCGTCTAGTCTGTGCTCGACACTCGCGAGGGTTGTAGCTTCTCTTGTCTACCATTCTTCGATCGAACTTTACATCCACGTCTACCAAACTATTTTAACTCTTTTCATCCAGAAAATTAGAACGGAAACAGTGATTTTATCTGAAGTTTGTAGACGGTTCTGGAAACGTCGAACGGTAAAATAAAAGTCGTGTTGAGTAATCGTGAGTTCACGGAACGTGAAATCAGCGGAGAAACGTGCTGATAATAATCGGATTATCCAGCAGGCTTTAACGAAGTTTGCAGGTTTTAAAACGCGATTACTTAGTCGCCTTCTTGCGATTAGATTATTTATCGCGCCGACGCTGCGGATTCTTCACTGTTTGAAGAGGGAAAACACCTGTACGCCTGAGAAAGCGGCGAATTCGAGCATGACGAAGGTGAAAACTTAAGCAATTTTTTATACGTTTCAAAAAAACAGATTCTGTAGTAAATTATTGCAAGTTCACAATTATTTTTATTAAAAAATGAGAACAGACATTCAGAAATCTCTATACATTTCAAATTTTCTGCAAGTTTCCAAATATCCAAGCAAACGCGATATATTCTCTGTAAGATCAGAAACACATCCATTCTTCCGTCACGAAATTGTTTAAATTCTCTCTCGGGACTTCTCGAACCGTATCCCGGAATCCGGCAACTATTGTCGAAGAGATTCAACTCGACGTACAGAATGAAACTTCCGTTTGAATATATCCGTCGCAACAAAACACCGCGTCAGAGTGCATCACCAAGTTCTCCGAAATGTAAGCTGCACGACACCCTCCGCCAAATGAAGTACTCACGGTTCAAAAGCTTCTGCCGTTGAAGAGGGAACGAAATAAATGTATCGAAATGTGTACGGTCGACAACGTTTCCTCTCGACGTTCTCTTTGCTCGTTCTTTGACGCTGCTTCGATCAAAGGGCCGTTTTTTTACGCGCGAATACGTGCGTCGGGAACGATGATGCATGTCCTTTTTGGCGGGCATTACGTTTCACGGTATGCAGCAGTTGGCTTTGTTGATTCACAATGCGTGCGTGATGCGTGTTCGAGCAGAGACGAATGCCAATGTTGAGACAACGTCAGACGAAATACGTGGCCATATTTCGCTTGAAAGTTTGCTAACTTGAAGGTGTGGGTTCGTTTCGTTCTGTTTCTACTTCCGTTCGATTTCGCTGCCGGACTATAGATTAGGCACTGAGGATTCGTTCATCAAGATTATAAGAGAATAACTACATATCTAGTCATTATTATTAATGTTACGCAGACTTGTATAACATACATGTTACACAAACACATAGTTATGTATGTAATAGAAGTCAGTACTTATATGATAATTGTGATTTAATGACTGATCTAACGATGAAATTTTTGTGCAGTGGGACAGTTCAGAATCCGAGTGCTCAGAGGCTGAAGACTCAAATGAGTTAGGGGCCACAGTCAGCCCCGAGATCTGCGCGATGGACACTGTGGACAGTGCCAGCAAACGGTCTGGAAGCCATAGCGGCCAGAAGGTTGTTCCAGCTACTCGAGTCTTCAAGAAATCCAGTCAGAATGGAAAGATCACGGTGTACCTTGCTAAAAGAGATTTCGTCGATCACATAACCCACGTTGATCCCATCGGTAAGTTAACTTCTAACTTATTAACCCAGGGCATCAGCTCCTAACTTCCCACTTGGTTCGTTAAATCACTTGTGAAGTTCGAAGTACCAGATTTCACTTCAGGATTCCTTAACACGTATCTATGAAACTTGTAGAGGTCTAAGTTTTAATGTTTCCAGGTGAAAAGTTCTTAGAACCTACTGGTTTGTAATTTCGAAGTAAATGATGTCCATGAAATTATTATGTTCTTCAAATAATACTCAAGTTCCACTATAATTACCTTCGTTAATCTCCCTGTGGACCTGAAATTATTCCAGTACTCATTACAGCATCTCTTTGAAGATTAATCCTTAATTCCAGTGTAACGTTCCAAAGTGCACTTTGTTGTCCATGACATTAATTATTAGGTGTTCAAGTGATCCTTAGTGTTCCTTTCTAATTATCTTCATTAAACCGCTTGTGAAATTTCAAGCATACCAGAACAGAGTTTCGCGCGTTGCTACAGTATCCTTAACATCAGTGTAACGATCCAAACTTCGCTTTGATGTTAGTGAAACTGATAATTACGTTCCTCAGTTAGTAGGTATCGAACTGATCCCCGATGTTCGCGTCTAATTATCTTTAATAGCCTACCCGTGAAGTTTCCGATACCCTTAAACCGTGGTTCCCATTCAGAAGTAAATCCCCAGCGTAACGTTCATCGAAGTTAGCTAACTGGCCTCCGATTGGAAAATTCGATTTACTTAACCAGTCCAGTTAATCTGAAGCGTCAAGGCCACTTAAAGGCTCACCGATCGCCGTTCGATCATTACAGACGGGGTCGTGCTGATTGACCCGAACTACGTGAAGGATCGCAAGGTCTTCGGCCACGTTCTGGCCGCCTTCAAGTATGGCAGAGAGGATCTGGACGTTCTGGGTCTAACCTTTCGCAAGGACCTTTTCCTGGCCGCCGATCAGATATACCCAGTGGTATCTGGCTCACAGCGTCGGGAATTGACTCGATTGCAAGAGAGGCTCATCAAGAAGCTAGGGAATAATGCTTATCCTTTCTACTTCGAACTACCGCCACATTGTCCTGCCTCGGTCACGCTGCAACCGGCGCCTGGCGACACTGGAAAACCATGCGGTGTCGACTACGAATTGAAGGCGTTCGTAGGTGAGACGCAGGACGACAAACCTCACAAACGGTACGTGACTTCATTTATGCAATTTAGGGAAAATTTTGGGCTATTAGGAAATTCAGGTTTGGGACGAGGTTTTTGGTAGAAGGGTATGTCGATGTGGATGGGATTGCATGTGAGCTTGGGATCTAGGGTATGGGGATTTGTCACATCGTAGACGTGGTGATTTAAAGCGTGGTGATTCCACACGTTGGTCAATCGATACGTGATAGTTCACCACGTTCCATACGTAAAACTTTTATCCTGGTGATCGCACAGTAATTTCACGCACCATCAATCCAACGCATGGTTCCAGACATTGGTAATCCAATGCATGGGACTTCGACACGTGGTGATCTAACGCGTTAATTTCACATCTAGACGATCTAATACGCGTTAATTCCATATGTAGCCTACCTAACACGTTGATTTCACATTTACGTCCCCCATCTGGGTAATCTAACGCATAACATTCCCACGCGTGTGATCAAATAACGTACATCACGTACGATGCAAAATTTCTTAATACCGAAATATTAATGGAGCATGAATTGCAGGGACTCCGTTAGACTAGCGATACGGAAGATCATGTACGCGCCATCGAAGCAAGGTGAACAACCGTCCGTCGAAGTGAGCAAAGAGTTCGTGATGTCGCCGAACAAGCTGTTCCTGGAGGTGTCCCTCGACAAGCAGCTGTACCATCACGGTGAGAATATCGCTGTGAACGTGCACATCGCGAACAATAGCAACCGGACAGTGAAAAAGATCAAAGTGTCCGTGAGGCAGTTCGCGGACATTTGTTTGTTCTCCACCGCGCAGTACAAGTGTACGGTCGCTGAGGCAGAGAGCGAGTGAGTATCATTCAATGCACACTATTATTTCGAACCGCGTTAAATTTCCGTCGGTTGGGTGCTGCGAACTGCGTGGTCGTAAATGGATTCTCTACAATGTTGTGACGCAGATCGGATACCAACATGTTTGGTAATCGATGAAAGTTGCGCGTAGATGTAACACGATTGTCTGGGGAGTTTCAAATATTCTGTCTGGAAACTTTAGAGATAGGTGACGTGTTTATCAATGTTGTAAGAAGATTGAAAATGAAATAATTATACAGTTATCTACATACATTCTGATACGATTTCATAAAAGTCTCATATAGCATATTAATTCAAAGCTTGAAGCTTAATAAAAGTATCTATGTATGCATCATGTTGGTATAAATATAAATATTGAATAATTGAATCCATTTATCGTACAACGTTCGCAGAATCCATTTCGAGTTTTCCTGAACAAAAATAAATGTACCTGACGCGTCACCAAATTCAGTCAATCAAAATGACAGTCACGTGTTTGGTCAGCGTTAATCAATCGATATCGAACACCTGGAAGACGTGCCCCAGAAATTGTTGTCCATCTTTCCGACTGACATCCCTAAATAACAGGCGGATACTTTATACGCCGTTGCGTTGCTTACGGAAAATTTACGAGTAACAGATTGTACAACGTGACCAGACACGGGACTGCTCGAGATCTATCGACTGTAGCGCAGGAAAGCATAAATTGCTACGTGCTGTAATAAATTTCAATCTTACCCGAGAAAATTTGCATCGTGCCGAATTAATACGTATCAACGATAATTTGCATTGGTCTGCGCGTCCCTCAAATGAAAAAATTCACGGAATAAAAATGAACATTTAAGGAAAATCGACGAGCGTTACGGGTTTTGTATTTTCATGAATTTTACATGTTTTTGGAATCGAGGGAAAGCTCTTTTCATTTACGATTATTTTAATTTTTCAAGTTTCTAAATTTGTGATTTTCCAAATTCCTGGATTCTGAAGTCCTTGTGTGAATCGGAAATCTCGCTCCAGTTTGCTGAATTAAGTTCTCAAACCCCCAAATCTCTTAATTCCCTTCCTAAGTCAAATTTAAATTTTCAAAAGTTCTCCAAGTTTTACGTGAACGTACAAGTACCCAACACTCGCTCGATTTTCTCCCCGACTCGCCGAAAAGAAGCTCGAGAATTGAGAAGGTCCCATCCCAGTACCAAACTCGAAGTAGAATAGTTAAAACGCGAAAAAAATAAATCACAAGAAGAAAGGAGACGCACTACATGAGACTGTCCCGATTAGTATTAACGCTAGGTGTACAATGATATGAACGCGATACATGCCGAATGGAATTGTGACATGACGAAACGGAAAATAAGATGATTGCACTGGCAGTATAGGGGTAGCGCCAGGATTCACCCTGAGCAAGGTCTTTTCTCTAAGGCCGACGCTTGCTGACAACAAAGACAAGCGAGGTCTTGCTCTAGACGGTCAGCTTAAACACGAGGACACCAATCTAGCATCTAGCACAATGTGAGTGCTCAAACCATTGGACGCGTGCTACTTTCTTTCCATCTTTTTTTTTCTTTCCTTTACATCAAGTTCGATAATGAAGATTGCGAACGGGCCAAATAATACGTGGATTGTTCTTCATATCTGTGTGGACATTTGGGGTGGAGGGTGTAATTCGATGCTCATTGATTTTCCTCATTGTGAATTTCCTCTTCGACTGATGGACTGTTTGAAAAGGATGCACGATGTAATATCATAAATTTAGATGAAAATTTTCACTGAATGTCTGTGTTAAGTCAATGCAGACGTGTACCAAAATTGGATGCTGGCAGAAATGACTTTTATTTTTAATGAATTACTTGAACTGATATATTAGTAATGTATATGTTTGATGTGATAGTTTGGAATACTGTTCCAATAAAAAGATGGAATGCAAAAGTATGATCGAATAAAACGATCGCCATTATTCCGGGCAAACAATGCACCCTCCAGAATCTCGCCATTTTTCCCCGATTTCAAGATTATCGAGGTTTCACGAGAAACGAAGGCAGTCGATATATCGAGGCCCGTTTGCAGTCTTCGAGAACGCGTTGTTGAAAACGGAGTACGATATTGTATGGGAACATCGTTCCAAAGTGGAATGCCAGTATTTTCCTTGATGGCCTTTTTTTGCTGGGGACTTTTATGGATATGGAATTTCATCGGTGGTGGTCTACTTTCCTGTACACAGGTCACGTCCCTCTCTCTCTAACTCCTACCACCCTCTTCACTTTCTGTTATCTCCACTTTTTTGTCATTTCACAATTGATACATGCTGATCGATCAAACGACATCTGTCCTTCCATTTTTCTCTTAACGTAGCCTGTATCGCAGTGTGACGCACAAGCTAATGTTTCATGTACATGCACTAGTCTATTCAAGTTATACGATTCACTACTTTTTTCATACGGAGATACTCTCGTTATATTGCCACGCATTGCTATGTTGGAGCTATTGAGTTGCCTTGATTTACAGCGCTTTCGCGTTGAAATTGCAGCGCGTTGACTCACAGTGCTTTGAATTACCATGTTAGTATCTCGACGCATTGGAACGTGTCAAAATAGAGACACGTTAATATTTTGGCGCGTTGAAACAGTGCGTTGATTCGCAACACGATACAGCGGTGCCACGCGTTGATTCGTCACGCATTAATATTTCAGTGCGTTAATTCGCTGCGGGTTAATATAGCCATGCGTTGAAACCCGTCACATCTCCACGCATCGCTCCCTGTGAATACACCACCTATCCACGGCAATATAACGAGAGTGCATCGAAAACATCACATCTCTTGGGCAGACTATGTCACATGTACATGTACATTTACAGTAGAGCTGTCAATTTACAAAATGCCATCTGGCCCAGGTACTTTGGGTATCTGGTTCAGAATCATATGATAGCTTATCGTTTCTAATTTTTCTCGTGATCGACTATTTGTCGATCCACGAAACGTTTGGCTTCTTCGAGAAGGGATGATACTATCACGCGGATGTTACGCATCACCGGGAAGTCAGCAGAGCTATTTTCGCGATATTTCGAGCACATTGATCCGCGGTTTCGTTTCGTTTTATTTCGTTCTCTGGTTGGAGGGAAACCGTGCGGTGTACAGCGTCGAACCGTGCTTGTCGTTTTATTTGGAAATAATATTTGCTCGATTCCACGATTGCTATCGAGTGATTCTCTTTGGCGGAAATAAACGATGAATTTTTGTTTTCTGTTTTTTCTGCAAAATACGTTGCTTTTTTGACCGTCGAACAGTAACGTGGTGACACCGGATGTATTTCGTTCGAACATATATCTTTTCATATTTAGTTCGTCAAATTATTCTGCATACAAAAGTTCGCGGTTCCTCACGAAATGAAGGTACCTTCTCACGAGGTACGTTTGTCATGAGGTACAAAAATAATAAATTTTATGTAAACTGATTGTACTGTGGACTCAGGAATCGTTATAACGAAATTACTTTTTGAATTTTACGACCAAAGTATTGTATCGTTGTCGATCAATCGAGCCCGACAGTGTCCGGATGTATTAAAGTCCCCGACCACGTTTACCCTCACACTTTTGCTACGTGTTTATCAGGGAAGGGTGCCCGGTGGGGCCAGGTTTCACGCTGAGCAAAGTGTTCTCTCTGACACCGCTTCTCGCCAACAACAGATATAAATGGGGTCTTGCCCTCGATGGCCAGATCAGAGACGGGGACACCAATCTGGCGTCCAGCACCCTGTAAGAATATCGCCGCTTCTCTCATGGAATTCAATACACAATTCTGGATATGTTAAGCCCAAAACAATTCTTTAAAAAAACCAGAACGTGGTCCGAGAAAATCCAGACAGTCGGGTCAAATTAGGATCCATCGAATTAACCTTTTCAAACTTGCTAAATTAAATAAGCAGAAACAGCACATCCGAATTCGTCAATATTATATTTAAGACTGTTCAGGTTAAATTGATGATAAGTTTCTTTAACGCGTTCCAGCCTGTGATAACAGGTGCAGAGGCTGTCATTCTGAAATGTGAAATATTGATCGAAAGCGTTACAGCTACCACGTTCTGCTCGTTTTTCTCTGTTTTGAGCTTAACATACATATTTATTGAAACGTCGCTCCGAAGTTTGGGTGCAGTTGCAATTTACAATGTTTGTATTATTTATATATTTTTTACCTTTCTGGATTCTGTGCGTTCGTTTCTATCAATTTTCGAATCACAAATTGTGTGATATATTTGTTATAGAACACCGAAAATGTATTCCAATTTTACAACAATTAATTGGTATATTAAAGTCACTTTGGCAAGTTCAATTTTGGGATTGTAGTTGTCTCAGTGTGTATCTGAAAGTACCTCACTGAAATTTTCTCATTCTCCCAAATTATTTATCAAATAAAAATTGTACCAAAAAATGCAGAATCTCAATAATTATTTTTGCTATTTCGATAAAAGAAAACATTATAATAATTTTTTATACCTGTGCGTAAGGTAATTAATCGCGATACGAGCAATAAAATTGCGCCCAAACTTTCAATCAACCACGTGTACGTGCCTCTGTATCTCTCTCTCTTTCTTCTTTCTTTCTCTGTTTATACACGAGCATCAAACGGCTGATCACGCGTGCAATCACGACTTCTCTCTGTTTGCGAAGCTGCGCGTGTACGAAAATTGCGGTCACGTGCGTCAGAGAACCTGTAGCTTTGCGAAACAAGGCCTGTTTCGATGTTATCGATCGATCGTCGAGCTGTCAGGGGCCGTTTCAGCTGTCTACTATATCCCTCCTCTAACATCCGATCAATGCTGACGTTTCGATGTTTCCTTGTTTATTCGAAGAATAATGTACACATACAGGAAGCAATATTTTATCCGATTGGAGCTGCGTCAACTTAGGCTTTTATCTTACTTGCAATTGGAGATGTTCAATCGACTCTTCATTCATTTCGTTAATTCGGAATATTTCATCTTGATAAGGGAACTACTTAAATTTGGATTTTATGTATTTCAAGACAATTAATGTATTAAAGAAATTATCAAAATTAAGTTCCCATAATTTGTACAATTTTGCTTCTAAAGTGTCCTTCTACATAAAAAAAATTCTGTAACTATTTCCTCTTCCCAAATAAAATAACATTTCAGCGTTTCGATATTTTCTTCTCGTGCAGCTCCCGTTCTGAACGTAAACCGTGTTCATCATTTATAAACCAACGTTTCGTTGCAGTTTCATTGATGTCAGAGAAGGCATTGATAGTGATTAACGTTTGTGAACGTTGGCAGACCACGAGGTTCCATGTGTTTCAATATCCTGAAACCGATAGCTGTTTTCGTCTGTTGGAACGAATCTCGACTATTCTTTTGGATAACCGAAGTACACGCACGATTATTGATCTTACGCAACGAGACTTCTAGCAGGATTTTCTCGTACGATACCGCCGAACGCGGTTCTACGATTATTTTGAACGGTTTTGCTGGATCGAAAATAGCGTTACTCTGGCTCGTTTTCATCGCCTCTTCCGTTTGCACGGTTATATTCAGAACGCGTTTTCTTTCGTTTTCTGGATTTCACCGTCTTGCAACTTCGCACTCTTCTATTTTAGAAGATGTAAATTTTGTCCTATTTTGGAAGATGTAATTTTCTATTTAAAATTTCTGTTAAAGAAAATAATACGTAATGTAAAAATGTGTGTTCCTTGTTATTGTAATAATTCCCAATGTAGAACATTCCGAAGTGAAATTTTTAATATAAACAGAACCGTAAAATGAAATTGTAATTTAAAAGATCCAACGTTCCATGAAATAACGCGTAATTATGCGAACATGAGCGAGAAGTCGTGAAAACGCCAACGATGCGTGCTCTTCCGGTGGCTCTGTACTTCCGACGATTTTCTCTTCAAAAAATATGGCTGACTGGCGATGGTAGCGGACTGGCACGTTTTTTATTTTCCTTAGATTCACGAAACGGAACTTAGGTATCATCACGTTAGCTGCTTCGTAGAACACTAGTGCGAATTTCTTTTACACTGCGAAACAGTGGTCGTTCTAGAAGATAATTCGATTTTTTCCCGCGTTAGAGAATCTCTGCTTCGTCGACACTGCTGCGAATCCTCGACACCCCGATTGAGAAGCGTTTACATCCAGAGGATTGTCAAATATTTTTCTTTATGCGAAAATCGAGTACAAGCTCTTTCGTTTCGATATAAACTCGATCCGTTTATTTGACACTCCCCTATCACCTGCATTCCTCGCTTTCATACGGATTCCAAACGCGTAAGCAACGATGCTTAAATCAATACCCTACTCCTCCGCTTCTTGAATGGTTGTCGCTTTGCACTTGTTGCTTCCGAATTGCACGATCCTATGTTTTTTTTATTTACGGAGCATCGTGCTGTTTTGCCTGTCTGTCTGCGTTTGACAAGCTTTTGGTGTTCATTGAATGTTTACCGCTCGTGCAAAGGACTTCCCGGTGAAACCGCGTATGTGTGTGTGTGTTGTTCTAACGGTGCATGCACGGCTTGGTAATTAGAAGATAAGAAGAGAACCGGAAATCGATGGTGATTATGTTGTTTCGCAGCGTGGTGGATCCCTCGCAACGTGAGAACCTGGGAATTATCGTTCAGTACAAGGTGAAAGTGAAACTTTGCCTCGGTGCACTCGGAGGGTAAGTCAATCCTTTACATCTATTTGGAGAAATATCATAGAAACCCTCAAATAATTCGAGAAGTCATTTCACTAAAATTCACGTAATAATTATTCAGTAAAAAAATAATTTCAGTACTAGTTTTTATAGGTCACTGTAAAAACTAATTTCGAACGAAATTTCCACCGGGTTACCTATTTTATTTCTCCAAACTCGCAGTGACAAAGTCGGGAAGTTCGAGGAAACGAATTTAAAATTTCATTGTGTACCGACACAGAGAACTGGCGGCGGAGCTGCCATTCACCCTGATGCACCCGAAACCGGAAGAAGAGGAGCCAGCACCACCCACTGCACCACCGACGCAGAAAGCGGAGAACGATGAAATAGCGCTCAACACGAACCTCATTCAATTGGACACGTACGTGGTCAATATTTCAGTATCCCCTGCATCTCGTACTATTTTCACCAGGCGAAAACAGTTCGATCTATTCGCTTCCCCGAAATCGATTGTTCATTCGCTTGCGTCAATGATTCTTTCATTCGATCTGTTTCGTTGGATTTAAACACTCACAGTACGAGTACATATGTAGATAGATGATTCTTGGAAATTGATAATTGGATACGACGCAACGTAATTGGAGAATTCATGGGTCAATTGTTTGGAGCAATATTACTGCTTGCACATTTCTGTGACAAGCTTCCTGTTTAATAGAAGCAAAAAATATTTTGTCCCGAAATATCTAATTGGATTAATTAATCTATCTACGTGAAATTTCACGTTGATTACAGAAATGAGTCTTCACAGTGAATGTTTGTTGCAGGGAGGTCGACGGCGACGACGACATAATCTTCGAGGACTTTGCCCGCCTAAGGCTGAAGGGCGAAACGGATGCCTGACCACGTTGTTCGAACATCGTCAACCTGTACGACACAGCGAAACGTCCGATATACGAGAACGTCGTCGCGTCATCGACGAAAAACGCGAGCCAGTTGATTCTGTAACCAGTTTCGACGAAGATGGACCTTTTTTTTGTGGAAAAAAAAAGAAAACGCGAACCACCAAGTGTCGCGTTCGGAAACGACTCGAGCCACAATGAGAGAAGTCTGCGAGTTATCGACCGACGATCATCGGAACGATGTTTCTCTTCCTCGAGATGTATTTGCTGTCCGATTTGAAAGGGGACACCTCTGGAATGGTACTAACTTGCTGCACAGAGAATCAAGGATGCACTCTAAGAAGATTGCGGGAGAACGGATCGTCAAGGGATCGCGAATAACGTTTATGGGAATGATGAAGAAACTTACGAGACATCAATGGATGAATAAATACCTAAATGATCTTTCGCCGATGTATTTATCGATCGCTTTGATCGACGACGGATACTTTTTTTTTTATCGGAGACCGAGGTCTCTTTATCAAGACTATACTAACAGATTTTTAATACAGATTTGTTTTCTGTAAGCTTAGTCACATGGCCAGTATGCAATGCAGTCAGTATGTTTCGCGTTGATTCGCGCTAAATTCTGTTTGCCGGAAATATGTTTCGAGTGCACGTGGGGAGAAATTTGCGTCCGTTTTTATCGCACACCGTTGTTTATTCGATTTTACCCTTTTGACTCACTATTTTACGCTTTGGCTAATAAAAGTTTCATCGCAAAGCGCTTTGATCTTCATATTTGCAGCATTTCATCGTGGTTGATGTTGGTAAAAGGGGTGCATTTACAATTCTCTAAACTTCAAAATAGTAATATATGGTACAGTGTACCGATACTGAGTCAGAAGGGTATTTTAATGATTTTAAAAATAATTGGTCTAGACTGCTGTTTGTGCAAAATTATATTTACGAAAACTATCAAAGGGAGACGTCAAAAGTTCCCTTCCTTTACAAAAACATTTTTTGATAAGTAAAGCGTATATAAATGTTGAATTTCTAACATGGCAATGCCTACGTCAGAGACTTGGATGTGAAATTAAAACTTGTATAAGGAGTTAGAAAACACGGTGTGTTACAAGATTAAACGATTTACCGTTGTATAAGGATGTTTGTTTTCTGTGTAATCGAACGGGATTTCCTTAAGAAGCATCGCAACAAATTCAACGAATCCTAACCCTTGTGTTAATAACCAAGATGTTCACAGTTGTTCTAAGTATTTTAAATCTAATGAAACACGGACATTAAAATGTCTAAAGTTAAAATCTAGAGCGATTTGAAAGTTTTAAATTCTCTTTAATATTAATATTGAAATGGATATCTGAGTACCTGGGTATTGATGCAAGGGTCAAAATGTTACAAGTATACAAATATATAGATTTAAATATAGATATGTATACACTTATGTGGAAAATTTTACTCACTTAACCCTTTCGTTATGACGTTTCTATGCAAGTGACAAAATAATTATTTATTGAACGATTCATCGAGTTTTATTTGGCACAAGTTTTTTCTTTCGAATTGTTCTCAGGAAAGTTTCAAATATTTTACATCCGACGATTATATAGACTATAGTCCATTATAGCGAAAGGGTTATCGAATTAACTCTAGAAAGACAAAACCATTCATTCTTCTTTTTATTTAATTCCTTTACTGAACCTCTTCTTCATTACTTCGAATAATAATTAAAAATTATTAATTTTCCTAAACGAAGAAGGCAATGTAGTTTTAATATTTTTTAATTAATCGTCTTGGCTCCCTCTTAGTCTTTCTAGGGTTAAAAGGTTTCAAACGAACATTAGAATTTCAAGGTTTTAGCTTTTACACGTTTTATATCGAGATCGAGAAGGTATTTGGATTTTTTGCGAATCGAACGAACAATCTAATCGTACGATTTTCTATTCCTTTTTTTACGCGTCACGTTTTTTACCGAACGAAATATATGTATAGTGCCATCCTGACCACACCCCGTCGAGGATTCTTGTTCCATTTTTCTGTTTCGAAAAAAAATAAATCGTGGACGAAGATTCAATTTTATTATCGTTCATCAGACGTATCGAAGACTGTTTTTCGCGAAATCGTACCACCAATTCCTGCGATAAGCATCGATCTCGAAATCACGAGTTTATCGTTGGGTCCTTTTGGCGATTTTTCATTTCAACGTTCATCGTTGATTCTCTTACAATGAGACGAATTAAAGAACGAACTTGTCGAAGAATTCCAAACGCGATCGAGAGAATGGAATCATTCCAGGTGCACGTGGTTAATCTGTACTCCTGCGGGAGCTAACGTGGAGTAACAAGTATTCTTTGAGTCGCAGGATCAGAGTACAGTGTTTTTAAATCCAAAACAGCGTATAATTGTACTTGCTGGATTACGTTTTTTATTGTTACATCGAGAAATAAAGAGTTCACATTATGGACATTAATTAATACTTCACATAATTATTTTTTTCAAACTTTATTTCATTAAAATTGGTCAGCCATTTTGTACCAAATGAAAACTCTGCACATTTCTGTCTTTAAGCTTTAAATTGATGTAGGTGCTACTTTGAAATACTTTCTTCAAATAGCCTAGTTTGTCGAGTATAAAGTTCCATACATTAATATTTTTAATTCTCAAAAATTGTAAAGAAAGTAGTCTTTAAATTTGGTTTACTTCGAGTATTGGATTTAAAAACATTGTTCCAAGTCTGCAACTTAGGAAGCACATTCAGTGTGTGTGTATGTGTGCGTGTGTGTTACGTTAGCACGATTCGAACATTAAGGCGTCCGCTGTCAATTAATCTAATTTACTCTGTTCGACGTCGACGGTGTTCACGAGGGCGCCGTGACGACAGCGAGCGCGTTAATTCTAATGCAACCTCTGCGTGTCGACGAGTGTAATTTGCGTGCAAAATAAAAGGATAACAAATAAAGTTAGCGTTCAAATTCGATGTCTCAGATGGCTCAAAACTGAAGAGATCAAACCTGCTTATAGCCGTTTTACGTCGTCCAATCTGTACGAAAAAATTCTGTTCCCGTAACACGAAGTCAATTCGAAAAGGTTGAAACGGCAGGTTTATAAGATCACTGACTCACAATTTTAATATTATATATAATTTAGTCAACTAAACGATGGTAGTTCATTGAACTTGCACATCCCTCAACGGCCATATAACGAGAGTACATCAACAGCAATTAAAAAAGTATTTTATCGAATTGTATACGATATTAAAATGGCGTGTCGCTTGTTAATTCTTCAAGTTTGAGCCACAAACACTTTGGCCAGGGCAACGTCGATCGTGCCCGGCCTTTTGTAATCGTGCACACGTGTATGTATATAGGAGGCAAGGAGAAATAGTATTTTTTATCGATTTAGCATTTACAGAGTGTATTTAGGAGAGACTACGATTATACCAAAGCCAGCAATCTCTCTCTATCTCTCTCTCTGTTCAGTGTTTCGCTTCTCGACGAACCGAGGAACACTGTTTACCTCTAGACAAATTGTTCGGCGAAGCAATTATCGAGCCCGTATTAAGTAATTGTAAATGTCGAGTTAATGTTTCAGCTATCTAAGAGTAATTGAATGTATCGATCATAAGTTTGGGGTCACTGTTCCAAATTATCCTCGTTCATAATTTTATGAAGACAAACTTTATCATCGGCGAATGTTGAATGGAACATTTTATTAAGTATTGATACTCGCATCAATAACTTGAATTATTTACGCACAAAGGTCAGTGTTCAGCATGAAAGTTTCGAGTAATGGTTTGCATTCTCGACCCCAAACTTGTGCGCACAACCCTAGAAAAATGACGAAGGAACGCAGGCTTGTACAATACGCGCGAGAGTATATTTTGTATCGGAGCGCGCGGGTGCGCGCCAGTATTTTTTGTATAATATTGAGAATCAGACATCACTGTATTAAACGAGTAGGTACAAGAACAAGGGATGGAAAGGATCGTTGCAGTACAGAAATAATGGCAATGCAACGCGTTGCTTCCACAGTCAATAAACAAGAAAACGGGTAATAACTACCCGACCTGTGTTAGATATCGCTAAGATAACATCATTAACCCTTTGCGATTATTTTCCACGTAATCATAGAATTTTATGGCGGAATTTTACGTTGGATTTGAGAGCCTTGTAAAATATTTGTCGTGACTGGATTAAGTGTTGAAACGGTCAAAGTAAAACTGTGACCACAAAGGGTTAAATGGAGGAGCTATCACTGGGTGATAAGGCAAAGGTACTTGCGGTAAACCTTTAGATCACACAGGGAATAGTTAGCGATTAAGTAAAAGAACATGTCCAGGTCTTAGCAGCTAATAGATTACGCTAATTGCTAAGCGTTCGATCTCGTGTACACTCAATGTTGACTTTCTTTGGTTAAGTTGGAGGAATATTTGTCCAAGTTAATTAATTCCAACTTAAATAATTCTGTAAACTTCTCCAATTTCTAAATCCCGAAATTCTCAATTGTCCAAATCCCAGAATCCCCGAATTCTCAACTATTCAAATGTCCAATTTCGCGAATTTATGTAGAAATCCCCGAGTGCCCAAATCCCTAAATTCCCAAACACCTAAATAATCGTAAGCATGCAGTAAAACCTCCCTCCGTTAACCAAAGGAGCCTACGTTATATCCGATTACGAGTGTACGGTTTGTAACGAAAGAGGAAATTAGAACACAGTTGACGGTATTGTTGCGTGTAAATTGCGTTTTCGGTGGTTTAATTTATTCATCGTAGGAAAACGTTTCGTTTCGTGAGAGAATGGGTTACGCGAGTTTAAAGGAGGCATAATTGGTGGAGCGTGTATAAAAAGAGAAGAGAAATGGAAGAGGAGAGTAAATAGCGAGATACGTAATATATTATAATGTACATGTAAAAATTGTGTATTCTCATATAATAATAGCTGTAATAATTTAATAAATCTTGTATATCGGACCTTCGTTCATGATATTTTAACCCTAAAATTAGTCAACTCCAATGTGTCCTTCATATTTCACCTCCCTGTTAATATTCAGTAATCGAAATTGCAGAATTTTTAATTTACAGATTCCACATTTGCATAATCTGCTAAATTATTTTGATGATATTCAGATAGCCTGAATTTCGCTGGAAATAACGCAACCAGCAATATTAATGATGCTGTTTACTAATTAAACACCATCTGGCTATGATCGTTTTTAATTTTTCAATATCCGCTTAATTAAAACTTGATGATTAATGAAAACACAAGGGACTTCGACTATTTATCTTTACATATGTTTCGTAAAATGATCGATTGCGAAAGCGGAGGCAATACTTCGAAAACGTTTTGTGTAATATTCCCTTATTTAATCAGTCTTAATTGTCGGAGCAGTTTTCAGCATTCTTCCTTTCTCGGTTAAATGTTTCTTCATTTTTTAAGACATCAAAGACCCTCTTTTTATACCCCACTGAAACTGTTTAATTAAACCCGACGTTCGAACAATAGGAAGTGCATCAAGGTTTCATTCCACGGACAAAGGAACAAAAGGTGAATCTTTTCCCTGGAATTACAAGTTGCAGCAAGCACGCAGAACGTCGTCATTTATCATCGGACCGTAGAAATTCCCGACGTGGCTAACGAGTTGCTCACGATTCAAATTTCCACGAAAATTTATCGCATTCGATTAAGTTACAAATGATACTTTACACCAAAATTTACAAATGAAAGGTCTTTGCATAAAAACCGTAATTCAATAAAGACTGCAAAATATTTCATTGGAACTATTGTGACAGATAATAATCGACCTTTTATCGGTTTTACAAAAACTAGACGCAAGAAATATGTCCGTTAATTACGAAATGGCTGAGATATTGCGGGGAAATCAAACATGAAATATTTGTACAGTAGGGGAAATTGTAACGTGTTTGCAGAAGTGAAAGATAAATTATACGTGTAATAATTAAATAACACTTTTTATGAAAACATGTCGTAGGAAAAAAACACCACCAAAAAATATACTCCAGTAAATTATATGAGTACACGTTACAAAATTGCAGGACATACCTTTTTATGTTATGCAAACATTGCTTTAGAAAAAGAGCAGAAAGTGTTAGAAGCTTGTTACAGGCTTGTTATTACAGCGCTCAGTCTTGTAAAAAATTGTGAAAGTATAATAAAATTGTAAGACATGCATAGTTAATTCGATATGTCTAAAAAACAAAGACGATTTGGCGCGCATTGTAGATATTTGTCTTTGTCGCTCTCATGCGATAGCGCCATAACATCTGGACCGGTCGTCAGTTCGAACCACGCGGCCGAACCGCGAGGATGTATCCTAAGGGTAGTTTGTGTCTTTTTATTCGACATTACAAATAACTTTCACTGCACAAAATGCTCTTCCTCATCTAATTATCGCCTTATAATTTAAATTAATTCAAATTTTGTACAAATTCGTGCCAGTGACTATGTAAAATTCAGTGACAACTATTAGTTTTGAGACTTCTAATTTATGCTAATATTTTTAGAACAATTGCAATTCAATAAACATTCGAAACGACCTCTGGCGATTTATTTCCCGCGAAAAATTTACTGCACAATTTTCGCAGTCGATTTATCTTCTCTGATTCGATCAAAGTTAATTCGAATTCTGATCAACAGTTCTATAAACATTGATGCACCGACTCGACGAAGAATCGATCACACTAATCGTTCCATTTTTCGATTACCCGTTTATGTTCTCCGCTTTGTCACGGTTTAAAATTTGAAACGTCATTGTTGCAAGAAGATCATTTGTCACTCGATGTTGCTCGTGCAAGAAACTTCAAACGCGGTTATCGTGTAAACTATTTGACTATCGATTATCGATCAGCGATTTTTCGCGGTGAAGTCGTAACAGTGCAGTGACGATGCAACAAGCTTTTGGAAGAATCGTGTGAAGTGCGATGAAGTTTCAAGATCAAGAATGGATGCAGAAAGAAAGATACTGGAACATGGAGATATTTGCAGTAAACGTTTTGGGTTAGAAAATTGTTTTACCTTGTTTAACAAACATTTATTATAAATAAAAATTCATTATCACATTTTTATATTTATAAACATATATCTTACATTATATTTATTATTACATATATGTTATATTTTTTTGAAATATCACAGCATGTGTATGTACCTCATTTTTCTTGTCTTAATTTTTTCTCATTTTCTGCTCCTTTAATTGATATTAATTTTACAAGAAAAATGTTGCAACTTTTTCAGAAAATCAACTCTGAGGAAATAAAACAAAATTGACAATGTCCACATTTTTTACTTGTTAACAATTTTTTACAAATATTTTGTTAAATATTTGTTCAAAATATTTTTACAAAACGAACATCTATGTGTAATTAAAACATTTCTAAAAAAAGCACAAAGAGCATTTTTAAAAAGTGTAAACATTTCGAACACGGTTTCAACGTCGAATCGGAAATGTGCGCAGGTGTAACTTAACGAAAAATATTTCTAGGTGGAAATCATGAATCGAATTATTCTACCGTGTTTGCAGAGCTTTTAAAGGAGATTTATATTCGAGAGCCACTGGCATTGTCGAGCGCTTTTAAAACGATGCGAATTAAATTGACCAAACTACTATTGCGTGAAACCGTATTATTTTTTCGCTAAATGCTAAATAAAACCGCTCTTTTTCCAAAGTATTATTTGCAGGACCATGCGGTTACGACTGTACTACAAAATGTACAAATGCATTTGTTTTGATTGCTTTTTTAAAAAATCAAGATATCCAATATAAAATTGTTCATTTCGTACAAGCATTTTTTGTACAACTTTTTTCTTTGCTGAATTATTAATTAATTAGCCCCTTTAAATTCGATTCCGAGTTCTAATTAAAAGTCCGTCTGAAATAACTTTTTATCGAATTTTGAAGTCTGAAATGTTTGCGTCTAAACTATCCCGTACAAAGTTATCGAAAAAAAGCACAACTTCCGTAATGAAAAAAAGAACTTGACCCGCGGGCTTGTTGATTAATCAGCACCGTCTTTTCGCAGGAAATTCGATCAATTTAAATTTCAATCGGAATATCGCAATTTAAAGTCCATCTAAAGTATCTTTATTTAATTTAAAGTTCGTTCGAAAGTATCTTTTTATTCGACGTCGTGTAATATTGTAGATTCTATCATAACGAAGTGCAGCGTCGTGAAAACGAATCTGTTGCCCCTTTATAACCCAATCTGGCCCGGAAGTACAAGCAATTTATACCATCCCGTCGTTTATTCCTTTTTTGTACTCTTGTTATCGATGGAAATGCATCCTCGTCGAATATGACGCATCTCCATGGGCAATTTTACGAAAATCTTGTTTTAATTACCGCTCTTAATTTCTTTTCTTTGATGAGACTCGCCTCTAGTTTAATTAAACTATGATTGGAACTTCATCAGACGTTTTTTAAAGTATGATTGGATCTTACTCGCACATTGCTAACTTAATTATTCGATCGATTTCTACATTTTTACGATACAAACTTTTGTAGGACGAGGTACATTAAACGAGAGCGATGCTGGGTCTGTAGGGACAATTTCAAAGGGTGCTGAAGAGTGGGCAGTGCCACTGGGTTTTTAATTTATGGGGATGGATGTTTGACGGTGATGGAAATTTTATAATTTGGGGATTTTGGAAATTGGGGTGTTGGGATTTGGGGGTGTAGAAATTTGGGGATGTAGGGATTCGAGGGCGTAGGAATTTTAAAAGTTTGAAATTTGGGGGTGTTGGAATTTGGGGATGTAGGAATTCGGGGGCGTAGGAATTTGAAAATTTAGAAATTGGGGGCGTAGGAATTGGGGGGAGTAGAAATTTGGGAGCGTAGGAATTTGGGGGCGTAGGAATTTGAAAAATTAGAAATTTGGGGGTGTAGGAATTTGAAAATTTAGAAATTTGAGAGCGTAGAAATTTGGGGATGTAGGAATTCGGGGGCGTAGGAATTTGAAAATTTAGAAATTGGGGGCGTAGGAATTGGGGGGAGTAGAAATTTGGGAGCGTAGGAATTTGGGGGCGTAGGAATTTGAAAAATTAGAAATTTGAGAGCGTAGGAATTTGGGGGTGTAGGAATTTGAAAAATTAGAAATTTGGGTGCGTAGGAATTTGGAAAAGCAGAAATTTGACGATGTAGGAAACTGAGGATGCAGAAATTTGAAGACACAAAAATTCCAAAATTCACAAATCCACAAATTTATATAACAACGTAATACTGAAAATTCCAAAATTTTTCACACGTCCCCAAATTGCAAACCATCACACTACTAATTATCTGGAGCTCGCTCCCAAAAAAGTGCAGTAGTCGCAAAAGTACATTTACATATTCTGAAAATTAAAACCCACCCTCTCCACTGTTAATTAAAATCTTAATACACAAATTGGCGGTTTTAATTTACGCGATTATTTTTGGTTTTCCTGTTGGACGAAAAAAGGGAAGTACTTTGGAATGAACGACTTATTCAACACAAGGCAACCACTCGTTTCTCTTTTTTATTTTGTATGCTCTCCAAACCATAGAAAAAAATTGTGCTTTGAAGTTCATTCGTTTACCACAAGCCTCTCATCGTTCTAATATTTCTTTAGACTTTTCGACCACAATACTCTTATATTAATAATTAAAAAGTTTATTGAGAAGATTTAACTGTTTATCTATCTGGGAACAGAATTGGAGCAACGAGGTAAACATTTGTTTTCTGCGGAAGCTAAAATCTCGAGTGAAAATTAATTAAAAAACGTAATCATTTCTACAAATATGCTCCTGGAGATTTAGGTCGAAATTTAAAATTCTCTGTAAATGATGAATATATCAAAATCCTCTGAAATTCGCAGGAAATGAAAAATTGATCGGTTTTGCCTTCAAGAAGCTCTGTACAATCCAGTTTCTCCATTAATCTCTTGCGATCCATTTATTCCGTATAGCCAGCTGTCAATGGATCATTATTTCAACCGATGCACCAGGTCAACTACTTCTGAATCTATTGTATCAAAAGAATGTTTATTGCAAAATTAGTTTCTTGCACTTTATGGAATTACAGCCTTAATCACTTTCAAATTTATTTCGGAGTCCTTAAATTTCAAGTTCAAAAAATTCTCAAATACCTAAGTCAAATCTCCAAATTCCACGTTCAAGTAATATCAAAATTCCCAAATTCCACCGTCTCTAAATTTGAACCTCTAATGCAAAATCTCCACAAATTTTAAGTTGAGGAGTTACAAATATGTAGCTCAAAAATTGTGAAACTAACTATTAAGAAATTGACTTGAACAAAAAAAGAAATTAGAGAATTTATTGTATAAATTCTTGGCCTTAGTGCATCCACGTATGTATCGGTGGTATTATTTTCGTAGCAGGTCCGTTAACAAATTACATCCGTATCTCGTTGCCATCGGTCGATGTCCAATCAGCTAAATCCAAGCTTTATCCCACCGTGACACCGGCCAATGCTCTCTGACCGTGATTACCCTTGCGTCTAATTCGAAGATACCAGTGAAATCGTCCCTTAAGAAATTTGCATGAACAAGTTATCCGAAATTTCTAAGATGCTATCGTGAAACGGATGATCTCGCGGCAGACTGGAACGATTTGTCGTCGGTAGCGGACCGTAATTCTTCCGACATTCGTCCGGAGTTACGCGGAAATGAAAAATGGCGCGAATGTAGGGGGAATAGGGAAAGAAGCTGGAACACAATGTACTCTTCCGGTGATATCGATAAGACCGAACGAAGGTCGTAAAGTTCAAACAGTTCTAAAGAACGATTCTTTTGGATTTACAGACAACAATCTTCTCTGATTCTTCTCGTGGTTAAATTGTTCTCTCAGACGTTTCTACGTATTTGAGAGACAAAGTAATTTTTCCTTTCTTTCGCTAAAACGATCTCGTGACATTCTTTTACTTCTGTCTTTTGGTCGCTTTTATATATTCACGTTCTTACATTTCAATATTTGGTATATTTTTAGCATTCTCGTATAGTTTCTTAAACCTAATTCGATCAAGCATTTTTATTTTTTGTTAAGCACCTAAATAACTCAACCTGTAATTTGTGATATTCGCAATTGAAAAATTGTCACAAAAATACAGCCACTCTGAAAATTCTCTTCACGACGTTATCAGAGAAATGAATAAAATATAATAGCGAAATTTCACGTCAGATAATCGATGTATTGTCAGATTCGAGACTAATACAATTAGCACTTTGTACGTCAATCAAGCTTCCTATAAACGATTTTACTACGACACAGATTTGCGCGGATTGCAGGAGAGCTTCTGCTGAATCTGATCGCATTAATTATCAGAGGATGCAACAGATTACTAATTTACGTAATGAAATGAACCCGCGATATGCTGAATAGGAGAGAACGAGGAGGGCTGAATAGACTGGTTCGTGAATGGATAAATAGAAGAAACGTCATATAATTCTGGTAGCTCGTCTCGTATGCTTAATTCAATTAAGCTCGCGTCCACCGTAAAAAGCTTTAATCACTGAATTGTTCGACACTCTTTAAATTCGGAGATTTAACTTCTCCGTTCAAATTTTTGGATGGCAATTTTGGGCTTCAGGAATAAGATTTTGGGACTTCAATATTTTAAACCTTTGGAGTTTTTTAGTATTTTAAAACTTTAGAAGTCTGAGACTTCACTACTTTGTCATTTCTTAATTTTCTAATTTTTAATCTTAATTCTAAAACTTCAGAAATTCGCTGTCTTAAGACATTTCCGAATTTGTAAAATAAACCGCGAACAAGTGGGACACAAAAAGCCATCATCTCCAGAAGTGGCTTCCGACGACACGGTAAGGGGTTGAGATTGACATCCGATTAGAGTTAATCCAAATTTTATTCCCGGATAACGGCGACTGATAGCAGAGGGTAGCAAAGTATCTGTCAGAGGGGACGATAAATCATTCGATGATTCGGGGAAGCAAGTGTGACACACCCTTGAGGAGTTTCATTATCTAGGTGACTAGCATCACCAAGCACAAGACATTATAGAGAAGGAAGTCCATGTCGTTCCATAAAACAAATTACCTTCTTGTTCAAATGTGGCCCTTGAAACTCCATTTTAAACGTGTTATAAATGCGTGTATTAAAGAGTATTTACGTACATGTGGATATTTATGGAGATAGTTACGTCTGGTATTCGTATCGTTATTAAACTTCATAGGGAAGAACGTAAAAGAATATTCCGACTATTTTACCCAGTTATTTTCGTAATTTCCGACTCGATCGATTTCTGTGAATCAACGGAAGTTTTTAATAATTACGCGTTAATTATTTGAGACATTTGACGATTGCTCGAGTCAAGTTTAACTAGTTTCGCGTGGTCGCAAACAGTGATTATTACGCCCTTTAGACGATGAATATTACAACGAGCATTAATTACAAACTGTTCACGCGCTATAGTTGATTCGCCGTGAATGCAATATCCTGAAGTTAGAGGCTCTGTTGCTTTTAATGAAGTTCGCTATTGTTCTGCTGGGAATATGTTTATCAATGATACAATAAATAATATGTATCATTGGATTAATCGTTTAATTACACGCGAATTAATTTATGTTAACATTTGCATTTTAATATCTTGGACATTCATACACGTTGAATATTTAATATTAATCATTTACATTTTGTTTTTATATTTGGTTGAACGTATTGATTATTTGTGCATTCGTTAATAATTTATTATTATCAGTACACACTTACTAACACATTCGATCGTATATTTGCGAAGGGATCTTTTTTTGATACTACTATGTATTTAGTCATGAATCAAGAAAATCCATAAATAGAGCGATTTTTTGTGTCTATCGTCGAGTCTCAGGGTGGCCGTGATTTATCGAGATGCTTTCGGGGGTTATATATCGACAGCGATGTCACTTTAAGCTCGCCTTACTCCTGATCGATGCAATATTATTATATCTTCGATCCATCGTTGACACGTCCTGAATAAAATATATGTTGTTCCTTCTCTATTTCCACGTTTCCTGGAAAACTCTCTTTCAATATTAATGACAAATTGCTGGGGTGTGTCGAAGCTTCGGAATTTAGGGGAATTTAAAAACTTCTTGCGGAGGACTGGGAATTTAAACATTGATACCATTTAAAATTTCGACCATAGAAACTTGATAATGGCGTACTTCAAAGAAACGATCCATTTTCATAGCGATTCAAGGGAAGCACCCGAATCGTGAGGTATTCAGTGATCCGTAAAATAATTCAATTCGTATCCGCCCTCCCATCCATTCAAATCAAAGTTCCCTCACAGCGCATCAAGAGAAAGAAGTAACATTCGAAACAGCAGTGAAATAAAAAAGGAGTATAGGACATCCAATTTAAAAGCATCTCCGAAACGACAAAGGTCTCGGTGTCCCAGCGGATCAATGTCTAGAAACAGTATTCCAGTTTCTTCAACGATCCCCGATCTAATCTTTCCTCTTGGTCGAAGATTTTTTACAGTTTCTAGCTCTGTTGATGGGTGACTCGCAGGATTTTTCGTCCAGCTAACTGAGAGGCTAATAATGCCCTCCGCGAAATAAATCGATTCCCTCAGGGGAGAAGTTGAAACTGTCATCGTTTGTTCCAGATGGAGGCGAAGAGGTCGTTGTCTGAACCTGGTCGTAAAGTCGAACCCGAGGAATCCATAAACTGGTCGGGCAACGGTGATATCGTGCTGATGTCGTAGCTGCTATCGAATTAAACGCACCCTTCTTATCCTGATCGTACCCTGTTCCTGGTCCCTGGTCGATTTGGAAACGATGCTGGGAATAGAACCCTTTTACGAGCCATCGTGCTCCCCGTTACTCGACAATCCGTTACACCATCTTCCTCTCGTCGATTTGCCTAACGAACACTCCTGGGTCCATTTCGTCCCGCCTGACGTGCCCGGTGACTCGGATCGATGACTATGACAAACAAAAGACAAGTTTCCTTTGTGGACAAAGTGTCGTAATCCAGTGCAAATGTAGATCAGAAATGCTCTGAAGAGATAGTCCATGGGAACCATGGATGGAAATCTGACGAGCTTTTGGACGGGTAATCTGACTGCTGTGCTGCATCAGTTACCCTGCAATGATAGCCTCGTCGGATGTGTCGACCAGTGCGCGATGGATCTCGGATTCGATCATCTATGCACCGTCGACAAACCTACCTCGATGACCCTCTTTTGTACACCGTGCGATTACTCTCGCTGCGACGTTAACGTCTCCTTGGTCGTCGGAGGACTCGACAGCTTCGAGGGCGTCTTCCTCTCTAGGATACCCAGGTTCAGGTGCAATGGGACTCTGGATACTAATCTAGAGGATCAGGTGAGGTCTGGATAGCAATTTCATTCTCCTACATTTTTGTTACCTTCTTAGATTTTAGGGACTCAAACACACTGGTAGATACTTTGGTACGGCCTATTACTCTACTACTCTTACTCTCCTACTCTGTTACTCTTACTATTACTCTATACTCCATTACTCTTCTTATACCGCCTCATACCCTCTATGTACCCTCTAACAGTACACCATATAACTTCCTATATTAGCTACAATTCATAGCTACAATTTCATCAAACTACAACTTCATAATCCACAAGAAGATCTTCCACAAATAAAAAATCCTCAGTAAGAAATCAAAATGCATCTCTCCCAAAAATGTACCTCTTGAAGGTGACAAGTCGTCAGTCATCAGTGATTTGATCATAAAATTAAAAGTGATAAGATTCGAATCATTTACAGTGTCCTTTTGTGTGATTGATTTAATAGATCCTAGAGTGCACTCCATCAGAGAATTCGACGACAGAGGACCTGACGATCTCTTGTTCGCACCGGGCGAAATTGAATTCAGCGACGAGAGGTCGTCGTTTCGACTGGGGCTTCCTCTTCGTGGCGGTGTTCATCGTGGCAGGTGGTTTGGGCAATATACTGGTCTGCCTGGCGGTCGGACTCGACAGAAGGCTGCACAATGTCACGAATTACTTCCTTCTGTCACTGGCCGTCGCTGATCTGCTCGTCAGCCTTTTTGTGATGCCTCTGGGCGCCATCCCGGGCTTTTTGGGTGAGTTTTCGAAAGTAACGGGAGCTTCGCTTAATCCTGCAGTAATTATATCCGTACGTTATTCGTTTTAAAATAAAATCTCGCAGGAAAATTCTCGTTGGATTATTATGAAATTTAGTGTAGATATTTGTAATTTTATACGTGAACGGACATATTTGACCACAAGGATTTTATATGGTCAATAAAACAGAAGCCTAATCGAAAATTTATCCCACAGACCCGGAAATGGTACACGATTGTGCCATTTCATCTTTTCACCGCCTTCCTTCCGGCAAGCAATAGAATTCGTACGACGGACACTGATGGTTTGGAATAATGCCAGCTCGACGAAAACAAGAGCTCGATTAAATCGAACTAATTAGACCTCTAATAAAGTTTCGCAATTCGCTGATTCCCACAAAATTTTCAAGTTTTAATTGCTCTAATTAGAGGCATTTCTTCGGACGAAAGCGTAAATCGTTCGGAAGAAATTTTTATAAGTCGCAAATTATAGCTTTTGTATGAACTTGTCATTGTCCGATCAGCTCGAAAGTTTGCCGCTAAGAGTGGCGACTTTCGAGGAGCAAAGAAAATTATAAAGCGGCGCGCGTGGTTCGAAGACGATAAAGTTCTCCAAGAAAACTCGATGCGGTGGAACTTTTCGCATTTTCGACCGTGTGCGTTTACGGTATCGTTTCCGTTTTATCCGATAATCGCAATCCTAAACGAAAACTTGTCCAAAGTTCCCACTTGAAAATAAACCTCTGCAAAATCATCGAAACCTTCCACTTAAGATTATATTCAAAACTGAAGTTTGTCAAGAGTACCGCAGGTATCGATCGTTCCTAATTAAGCAGATAATTTGACGTTCGAAATTATCTCGACAAAGCATTTCATTCTGTTCAAGTTAAGATTGATTGCCACTGTTTCGCTTTGATGTAAGGAGATTACACGATTATCTCTGATTTGGTGGGAATCGTTTGTCAGCAGTTTGAGAAACAGGAACTGATCAGGAATTCATCGCCTCACCTTTGATATTTTCCAACCACCTTGAGACTGACGTTTCCTTGATTTCTCTGTTCCACCACTTTTTATGGATGAAGTTCGATGAGTTTGATACGTAATTTCTTACTCCATCATTCTTCATCCTATTTACATGGGCTGGCATCAAATTGAAGTTCTGCACGAAATTTCAGTATTGCAGATACTTTATCAAATTTTATATAAAATACATATGTTACTAATAAGACATGCATGTTAGGAATGGAACATTTTTGGTCAGTGATCAAATGAACACATAATGACACATATGTAACATGTAGGTCACTAGTAGGACATGTGTACGTACAGGTCACTAATAAGATACATATGAGTACATATATGTCACTCATAAAATACACATATGGTTTAATAGTAGAACATAGACATTTTTTTATGTAGCATATATAAAATTTTTATAGTAAAGTATGTTTGATGTATTAACACGTAATCCAATGTATGAGGAACATGTCACGCGTGATCACATATGAGAGGTCACATGGTATACTTAACACACGAGCTTGTGAGTAACATGTGAGAAATCAGTCACATGGGGTAACACATTAGAAAACAGAGATACCTAACACATGAAGAATCACATGTGATATTCCACACATGAGCACGTGTGGCAACGTATGGAAAATCTAACACGTGGAAGAGCACACGCGAAATCTAATGCATGAAATTTATAATAAATCTAGCGGAAAATGATTAACCTGGTGGAAAATCTCTTATGAACACAACGCAGTGTTTCCACAACCAAAACGTAATTAAAATTCCCAAAGATACCCAAGATAATTTCCAGCACGTTGAAATTTACTTGGAACGTCAAAGATATCGGTTGAGTTATAAGCTTCCCCAAGGTATTTGTACTTTTGAGAAACGGCGAAAAGTTCCATAGCTAGGGGCCTCGATAAACGTTAGAACGAATAGGTACAGTTCGTCACGGGGTTACGGCTCCTATACGGTGTTGTTCCTTATGATTGAACGGGCTTCGTTGGGTACACGAAGAAATCCAGCTTGAGAAATAGCTCGGGAAACGAAGTTTACCAAAGCGAACTTTAAATGGGACACACACGGCCGAATGTAATCGCACTCGCCCGTATACAGTGTTTCGTGAACTTGCTATTCGTGTGTACGTCGATTTACCGCGGAATTTACTTCATTCTCGATTTGTTTGTTTAATTTAACGTCCGCCGGAGTTCGCTGTTTGTATGCGGCGCTGAAATTATGGCCCTAGTCATAGCCGTCTGGGGAAATTCGGGATGGATAGCGTGTCACGCTCGACTAATTGCTTTTATTTTATACAAACAGCTTTATTATGCTAAATTGTTTACGCTTCATTCAATTCATTTTTGCTATTTATGGCTCCTTTGATGTCTCAATATTCTGCTGTCTTCATTTTACGCTCTGATCACATTGCTATTGGTTGATTGTGCTGACTTGTGCTTCAATTTATATAACTATACGAAATTATAACATATAACCATATGAAATCTATTTAAAATTACATGCGAGTAGTTTATACAAGAATTGTAAAATTTGATCACGTTAGAATTTGTTAACCAAGCAAAAATGTACCGAGACAACTTTTATCGACCTAACCCAGTAAGTTAAGTGGAGTTTACGTTAACTGGATTATGTTCGATACAAAGTAAACCCGCAGCAAAGTTGTTTTTGATAGAATTCAGCACTCGTATTAAAGAACCTCGAATAGGTATTTTGATTTTGAACGTGGTGCAATTTTGCAGCAATTTCTAAACGTTAATTAACACCCACTGTTGCTTGCCCGCTCGTAAACACTCTAATGTCCTGTCTCCATAAACTTTCCTAGTTTCCCTGCGCAAAAGCGATTTCGCTTAGTTTCGATGGAAACACCATAACGACCGAGTATAGAATAAATGTTGCTTCGGAATTCGGGTCATAGTGCTTTGCCTCACCTGCACTGTGTTGCAATTAAGCACGTTCATCGATTCCACGTACTTCTCTTCTTACAAGTTTTCTTCTTCTCTTTTAGTAAGTATTATTACTTCGAATTTAACACGTGTTCAAGTTAATTTGAAATTATATTTATGTTATGTGCAGTGTGGCTCATATTTGTCTTAGACCTTCTAGGTAGTTTAGATGAATAGACTGGTTGAATATATTTTTATATTTACTACTTATAATGTTGTGTGGAGTGTGCCTCACATCTGTCTTAGACATTCTAGGTAGTTTAGATGAATATGGTTGAATATATTTTTATATTTACTACTTATAATGTTATATCAAGTGTGGCCCACATCTGTCTTAGATCTTCTAAATAATTCAGATAAATATATTGCTTGAATATATTTTTATATTTACTACTTATAATGTTATATCAAGTGTGGCTCACATCTGTCTTAGATCTTCTAAATAATTCAGATAAATATATTGGTTGTATATTTTCATATTAACCAGTTATATTAAATGAAAAATTTATCACATAGTTCTGCAATTTTAGAACCTCTGATTTTATAAATTAAGTTGATGAAAGAACGAGGTTTGAAAAATGGCTTTTCCATGAAATTTGCATATGTGACAGTGTTAAACAGCGCGACTACCGATCGTTATAACGCAGAATTAATGCATCCATTAGTATCTGTGTTCCGCCGACCACAACAATTTAATGTTTCCGCGGAATTCGCGGATCCGCGAAGAGGAACTTGATAAATGGGCTTGTCGAAAAAAAAAAGAGTTACACCGTGGCCAAAGCGACAGCTGCGATGGCCGCAATTGAGATATATTTCGTTTTTATAGGCGGACAGTCGGCCAATACAGCGAGGTTCGGTTTTTGTGCTTGTCAAAAATGGAAATTCGTTTTGGCCAACCGGTAAAAAAGTCAGCTCTGCCTGCCACACTGGATTTCTCTCGGCTTGATAATTAATTTTTTCGCGCTATATGGACGTTCCGCTGCGGGGCTTCGTTTGTACGTTGACTTTACTGATTGTTGCAAAAGAATTTTAGATAAATTCGTGCTCCGATATTTCTAATTCATTTTTCCATGTTTGCACTTTTATACCTTTCAAGCTTCGTATTATAGTCGACTGCATATTTCTTTACTTTCATATTTTTTTAAATATGTAGTTTCAGAGTTTGTCAAATATAAGCTATCTTGCTCCACTATATTTTTATTCACTCTGATTCTATGGGATATTTTATTAATTACAATAGTAGACTTGTTTAATATTTTCAGAAATATAAACCATGACTGCTGTCCCATGGAAGCTCTACAATTATTGCAAACTTTGTACTAGAGATTTTTTAAAATATACTCGATTATTCGATCAAGAGGAGTTTACAATTTGAGTACCATTTGAGTGCAAGTTTGAACACACGTGACAAAAAATTGTGGTTAGAAGATTGATAGTGTAAGTTAGAAGTTTGAAGGATTGATAATTGGTGAAAATAGTTGGACTCCGATTCGGAATGCCAATAACGAGCCAAGCAATGTTCCCAAGCGTGAATTCGGACCTCTCGCATTAGTGTGCAATTTCACGATAGACAGCCGTCACTTGGTTTCACTCGAGATATTTGCTTGTCATCTGTGTTGGATGCTCTCTGATGCCGGTGTCTGCGTATACTTCCCCTTTGGCCAATTTCAGCTTCGAACGAATACTCGGATAATGAATATTTGTTAACGATACATTGGCTGTCGATCGATACTCTTATTTCTAATTAAATGCGTTCGTAATAAATGTACTGCTCTTTATGATATCAGACTGATGCTCAGACAAATTATATTTACATACAGACAGATAATGTATACATACGTACATGCAGAAAAATAATATATACATACAGACAGATAATATATACATACGTACATGCAGAAAAATAATATATACATACATGCATGGAGACAAATAATATATGCATGCATACATGGAGACAAATAATATATGCATGCACATGGACAAATAATATTATACATACAGACAGACAAATAATATATGCATACA